TATTGCTTGAAATTTTAAACTTCATGTGTCTTTTAACTACATTAGATTATATTACAATACACTTCCCTGGCAAGGGAAGATGGTGCAAGACAAAAGACCCATCACCACAAACTTTAGCCAGCAGGGCATCTATCAACAACATAGAAAGGTATTGCCCACAATGCCTATAGTAATCAGGATTATAGGTAGGAGCAAAAGAGCCTTGTTTTTTTCAATATACTGACACCACTACTGTGTAACAGTCTTCCAGTGGAGTTAATGTCTCCATGTTGTAACCTGTAATGTATTTACCTCTCTCTGTTTTTTCCTTTCCACAGCACTGCCTAGAAATCCTTGTGGACAGGCACGGGTGGCTGCAGGAGACCAGACAGACTGGCTCCTCCAGCAACAGCAGCCTTGGAAGGAAGAGGGACAAAGCTTGCAGTTCTAGATTGCCTTCTTTGGCATTGCTACTTGGTTTATATGCAAGTTAAATCTTCTTACAAGGTTTTGGCACCCAATTTTCCAAAAGCATGATTCTGGAAAACTAACAAGGAAGTGTACAATAAAATAAACAGTAGAAGATGATCCTTCTGATCCTTGTCCCATGCATTAGTCACAAGGTATTTTCCTATGTATTAAGAAATCAGCAAACCATTCAACAGACCAGTAAACTAGCTCTATATGTTTGTCATGGACAGCTGTAAGCTTACGATAAATACGGTAGTAGTAGTCACTACTGATAGTCAGAAAGCTTCACTTGCTATTTGTATTTTAAAGCTATTGGATAATCACGCTGAAGCACCTTCTTCAATTAATTCTCTAACCTGTCTTGAATGAGGGCAGGAGGAAGTCTATGAAGATTATTAATTCTCTCTGAAAGCTCTTAATCACCCACAGTGCTGCCAGAATAAGCTGAGCTGCTGAGCAGACATTCTTTCACTGGGAGAGAAGGTTCTCGGTTATTAGTGTGAAATAAAAACAAACAAAACCAAAAATAAATTACTTCTTATTTATAAGTTTGCTGCTTGGAAAAACAGCAGTATGGAAGCTTTGATAGCAAGAGGATTCCAAACAGGCTCTTGGCAAAAGAAAATTTTTTTGACAGATACATGTAATTTACGGATCCAACACAAAGGAATATTAACTCATTCAAGTTAACTTTCGGAACAAAGAGAATAAAACCTAATTCACGTGGCTTAAGGCAACACAGTTAGCTTTCCTGCTTTGGTATAGCAGTGTAAAATAGCTTTGGATTAATTAGATAATTTAGATTTAAATAATTTAGATAAAATTAGATTCACTTCTTGAATGAACATTTAAAAATTTCAGAAATTTGGGTAGAAGCGGCAAGCATTGGTTAATAGCTTTCTGAAGCTATTGGGCCTGTGAACTCCATGACAAGTGTGACTCAATTTCTAGAGCCAAGTTTTCCTCCCTCCTCTTTAAATTAGTTTATGCATCAGAATTTATATGAACATTCATAGCACAACAGAGCACTCCGTTACAACCACAGACTTCAAAATAATTAACCTAACATTTGGTCTAGGTGCACAGTTGTGATAAAGTTTTCAAAATATTCCCAGCACATATCAAGGGATTAGATTATGACAGACCTGCTTAATGTTCTGAAATCAATTTAAGTTTTTATTTGCTATACAAGTGAACCTTTTAACTATATCAGAACACTGTGAGGCTGTGCTTGAAACATGGTGTCCAAATAGCGCTGTTGTTGGTATACACAAAATAATTCAAGTCAGAATAATTTTGAAGTCTCAGACACAACTAGGACCATCATATATTTTGTGAGCGTAACTAGAGACTGAGATTACTCATTTGGAGCTCTTCTGGAAGATTGAGACCTAACTGTTACTCTTCCTGGAAAGATTAATACAGTTAGGTTGACACTGATCTCTGTTTCTAGACCAGCTGCATTTGTTCTTTGGTTATTTTTTTATGCTATTCCACAAAATTATTCTTTTTCTCCTCCAAATAAAGACTCATAATGCCGCCTGTCTGAAGGCACTTCTTGTAGAAAAAGTTCAGACATTCCAAAAGGCAAACCTGGGCAAAATAGAAGGCAGCACATTAAAAAAATAAAAGCATTGAGACTATATGTATTATTACAGTAGTCTCCCTTTTACTGGGGGAAGTTTCAACTATCATCCCACATCGGAACAAAACTTTGTAATGCTTTTCTAATGCTCCTCACACGGGTCCTCTCAGCCAACAGCCAGGAAAAGTATCAAAAGTGTGGGGTTTTGTATCAAAAAAGGTACAATTCCCAGTCCACTACTCTCTGAATTTCTTTTGCAACTGTGCCTCCTTTCTGAGGACTAGAACTTTTATACCTGAAATCAAGCACAAGATTTCTTAAGTTACACCCAGGCTGCTCTGACCTACAAAATCAAAAAGTTTTAGAAATGCCAAAGGTGTGTAGCTATCTCTTGATTCCTTATGACAAACTGTTCTGCACAATCTCTTACACTGCATTCTATGAACTTTGAATGATCTGAAGAGTAGTTTCTTCTCAGCTAAGGAAAGCTGGCTCATCATCACTTATCTTCAGCTCCTAAACTCTATTAGGACCCGTTAAAAATCCAGAGACTTTGTCCTCTATTAACTTTTGGGTTAGCAATTTCTGTAATTCTCTTAGGATGATCTGAAATAATGAATGTCTTACAGATGCTCCCTCAGGTCTGTCCAAATCTCATCACTGAGAGCTGATATAGGACTGATATAGAACAAGCCAAAACTGTTCCGGAATACGTGTCCTGCAACATGGATATCTTCTTAATAGCTTTCCTCCCTACAGAGCAAAGAGGGCTAGACTTCTTTGCCAGTGATGATTTTTGCCCACCTTTAAAAACTTTTTCCAAATCCAATAGGAAGGCACCAAATGGACATAACACTATTAAGATTCTTGAAAGAAATTACCTCATCAACGACTGTAACTGCAACTTCTTACATTCCCTACACGAATCACTGTCACAGCTAACATGATAAGGTCACTACTATTTCCAACTTCTTGTTATGTAAAAAAACCAAACGGCCTTTTATAAACAGATTTAAGTGTCTCCTTAATTACATTTGTGTTTGAATAGATGCCACTTCCTACCTCATGCTTCTGAAGGTAAGTCACACCTGTATACTGCATCCAGAACAATATATTACAACTCGGCCAGAAGCCACAGGAATTATTTTTCCTATATGTAATTTTATTTTCTGCTACAGAAAATTCAGTACACTTAATGTAATGGGCTTTTTTGGTTTAAGCCATAAATACCATGTGGTGTACTATAAAACATAATTTTGTGGATTAGATATTAGATTAATGGTCCCTCCTGTCAAAAAAGTAAAGATTCCAGGGCACTCGAGACACACATCACAATACGCTCTTTTCTCATAAGCAGGTCCTAGTGCCCAAAGTTTGCATATACTATTGTTGAACACACAATAGCTGCTGTTTGCCTTAACAATTGACACATTATTATAGCTCCACACATTGCTGCTGTACCAAGAAGAGATCCTACATAAAACCAAATTCTACTTTACGACACATAGTAAACTATTTTTTTGCCTCAAAAATGAGATTTACACAATAGCTTATAAAAATCTAGGTAAAAAGAGAATAACATTACACATACAGAAACTATTTTAAACATGGTTGTAATATAAAAATAACATTTTTCAATGAAAAACTATGCTGTTTTCTCAGTAAAATCAGTTTATATTTTAAAGTCCAGCTTTGCATTAATAAGCAGTTGGTATCTCACATTCTAAATGTTATTTCCCCTTTTTGCTAGTAGACATGTCTCCAATATTATCTCACTGCAATGTCTCTCATTGGGATAGTACTAAAGAATCAGTAGTATTCAGTGCCATCTTTTTGTCAGATCGTCCTTTTGTGTGTGTGTGAAATGTTACCTACTTCTCAGTATGGTATTTTTTTAATAATAGTTGTAGAAGGCATAATAAACTTCCTGCTTATGCTTACCACATAACCAAGATTGGGTTTGCTGGCTGGCTGGCCAGCCATAATAAAAAACAGATTTAAAAATAACTCATTTTTATATTACAGAACAAGTTATTCAGTCCCAAGATTCCAGAGCTGATCAGGATCACAAGAGAACACAATGTCCATTCTGGAAAAAAAGGTTCCTGGGAAACAGAGGAAGAAATTCAGGATTTGCAGCAAGAAAAGCAGCAACACATGTGGGTTTTTTGTTCAGACATTTTTTGTGCCAGTATTGACTGAAAGCAATACTGAGATGCAAAGCTATCTTTATCCCTTAATAAATTTCTAATCCTAGCTGCTATGTGAACTAATGCAAATTTGAAAGCCACAAACAAAAAGAGCAAATCAGCTCGTGACTGCTATGCAAGAGGAAAAGGTCTAATTACCATCTGGAGGAAAGACAAACATGGTGAAGCATTTGTAATACATGCTTTCATGTGACTTAACTAAAGCTCTAATATCCATCAGATGGAAGGGGCTCTGCAAGTTTTAAATACTTTGCCTTGTGTTCATGTACAGTTTTGATCAAATAGATTTTTGCTTTAAATGAAATATAATCTCAAATTATTAAAATGGTCAGAAGGAATACAGCATTATAGCTAAAAGTAGTAGTATTTTAACTGTATATTATTTTAAAAGAAATCAATACTCTAGATAGACCTATTCATTCTGTGAAAGATTGTTACAGTCATCAAAACATGGAGGGAAAGAATTTTTATTAGACTAACTACTGTATTAAAAAAAATGCAGCTACCCACCAATGGAGCTCAGTATTTTAATATTACCTGAAAATTCCTATAAAAGGAGTTATTCAGTTAAATACAAACCAGAAAGTATCCAGACTTCTTGAAAAATTTTATCATGAAAGAGGACCTGAAGTTTTTAATTGCATTAGTCAGTTAATCAATAAAAAGAATCACCTATGCAAGTTTCAAGTTGTTGACAATTTCCATTAAATCTGAGGTTTGCTTCTCACTCAAATAAGTAAAAAAGCACAACTTACCCCTCCAATTATATATGACTATGTTTCCGAATATCAGTCTTGAAGGTGGTTTTCTTGCAGACCAACTAGAAGCAACAAGAAAAACATTTTTTGTTGTTGTTTGCAATAACTTCAGTGAAGTTAACATGCTAAAGCTTGAACACCTTTGACCCAATATGTTTCCAAGAAATATTCTTGTACCGTTTGTTGAAATATCTGATCCTTATTCAGGATTTCTATATTTATATTATTGCTTTTTCTTCTGACATTTGATTTCAGATAAATCCTATTCAACAAAACATCATCTGTTTACTTGGAAACATTCAGGTAATTTGGCAACTTTTATATTTGCTCTGTCATCACTCCCAGAGGTGTTGCCTGATATCAGGAGAACTGTACTTGAAGAGTTCTGCTGGAAATGGTATCTCCATAGGTAGGAAGAAGAACCCCCATCACACGTTTCCAGGACAACTCCACTCACACAGTTAAATACTGTGTGATAGAGAAGTACCTAAAATGGGAAAGGGTGAATCGCCCCCTGAAGATACCTTTCCCCACTGACTACTGAAAAAGCTAGACCAATTTAGACTAAACACACAGATTTTTCTGAAGCCAAAATTAGATCAATCTTATTCCTAAACATTTTAACACTCAATTTTTTTACTGCAGACATCAGGTAATACCCTTATATGTTGAAGCTTCCAAATCCCACATGTTTCTATGGCAATTCTTAGACTAACTGGTCCTACAGTAATGCATATTAAAAAAAAAAAGAAAGAAAAAAAAAGTCAAGTAATGTATAGTTTCCAGGTTATTGATAGGAGGCTGAGCATTGATACTGGCTAATGAGATCTGGGCAACCTCTTGAGCGTCTAACCTCTGGCTTTTTTTTTTTTTCTGTTTGTATTATATGACTGAACTATTCCTGTTACTCGTATCAGAAAGGCTAAAAAATTACAAAACTGAGTCTCTTTTTTGCTCCTTTATGAAGACAGCTTTAAAATTCAAATGCAGAACAGAAATAAAAGTCTCTAAACTACAGATCTATTGACTGTACATTTAATAGAAGGGCTTTAAGAGTGCTACGTACAATACAGTCTCCCCTCTCAAGGCTTCCAATAAATGGGTAACATGATGCTCCTTGGAGGAAAACATACAGCCTTTTAGGCCATCCTCTTACATCATAAAGAAATAAAAAGATTTTTTTTTTTTAGCCCTCTTTTATATTTCCTTCTTCACCTTGTCATAAACATGGGTTATTAACTAATGATACTACTAGCTCCTCTGTACTTACCACCATTAATTAGAGCATTAGGACACAGGAGTCAGGTACAGCATTGCAAGTGTAGAGGGGTCACAGAAAAAGGACAAAAAAGTTAAAAACTTGGCATGTGCACAAAGAAGATGGAAATGTCATAGAGGGAAGAAAAGGATTATCTTTAAGGTCAATACACAAGATTGAAAGAGACTGAAAACACCATGGTATTTAGAATCCACTGAACTGAGGTGCTCCTATGAGAAGGCAACACATTCAGAAGGAAAGGAAAAATGAATGATGATGAACAGGAAAAGGGAAAAAAAGGTCAGGTATAGGAGAATCACCAAAAATTTCTCATAAAGCCTGAAAGACTGAGGAAAGTTAGTAAAACTATGGTGGTACAAGGTAAAGTATCAGATCTTAATTCCATAAAACCCCAAACTCCAAGGAAAAACGAGTCATATTCAGAGGGAAGCAAGGCAGCTTTTGGAAATAACTTCAGATCTAGAGGCTGGACACACAAGGTCTTGGCAAAAACCAAGAATGCAAAAAGGTGGAGATTAAAAAGGAACATATGGGTTAACTAGAAGGATCTAGAAGTTACAGTGGCACCTAGAACTGAAATGAGTCTAATACAGCAGAACACATTAACTTCAGGAACAGAACAGAGTAGGAATGATAGAGTCTAAGGAAAAACACCACCATATAACTGGAAAAATATCAATGAAAACACCACATATATCAAGAAAACAGAAGGGACAGTGTTGACTACCAAAGGTGACAGACAGATTAAGACGGATGAAATAAGAATTATGCCTCAGATTTAACCACGAACAAGTGACCTGTGACCTTACAGCAGTTCAATGAACTCAAACATCAGAAAGAAGATTGGAGGAGATCAGTGAAAGCGTGGGTGGACAGAATGTCAAGACAATATAAAAATACACCATTAAATATTTTGAAAAAACTGAAGACAGGATGTAGGTCTGCAGTGAAAGGGCAGTACATGCTGTGAAGAACACATTTCAAATTAGCTTTCTGAAGCAAGTGTTTATTTTCAATGAAGAGAAACTGAAGCAGAGCAGTTTAAATGAAACAGAAGTAGAACTCGGAGTTAGGAACAGTAGCAAGTGTAAGCGATGAAGTCAATGGGAAAGGATAGTGACATTAAGCAGCAGAAAGTATAAGGGAAACTTCTAAATCTCAAAGAGATGAAAAAGACTGCAGTAGAGTTACAGCTGGTTTTAAGCCAATATATTTGATGCACAACCAAGATAGTTCTTTAACATCTTTACTCTGACATTTTAAGGAAGCATTGAATTTTCAAAATGCATTGGATTAAATTCCTGAAGGAGAAATTCTAATATACTTATAACTCACTTTTACCTTTTTATCCTTACCATCTGGAAACATTTACAGTTGCTAAAACCCCCCGCCACCAGGAAAAAAAAAAAACCCAAACCAAAACATACCCCCCCCCCCCCCCCGGCTTCATACAGCTCCCTCCATACCATGAAGTCATTGCAAATTGGGAAGGATTTGCTACTAGCACTTAACCTTCACCTTAGAGAGTTTATTTTTGTGATTGAGCAGCAAGCTGTAAATCTAGAGTGAAAGAATAAGGGAAAACTTGAAACTGGGACACAGTTTTCATTTTCAAATACAATGTTTTTTTCTTGAATTACTTGTTAAAGAGTAAGCAAAAACCCCAGAAGTTAAAAGCAAAACTTTATCACTAGATTAATTGTTCCTTTCTTGTGCCAGCCTTTCATCTTGTATTTTCAACATTATATGAATTAAAAGCTCTCTGGAACAGGAAGACTATCTTTATAAAAGTCTAAAGCAACACATCTGTAGTACCTACTAACATTTAGTCATTGGTAGGATGCACTACTGTCCCTCTTCTGCTCTGAGTGAACCTGTTTTATCACACACACATTCAAAGCAAATGGATACATTATACAGATGCTGTATGTGAACTACTTACAGTCAAAAGTTAATTTATCAATAGAGCTGAGAAAGAACCGGGCCCTGGTATCCCAGTCCCATAACTGCCAGCCTTATTAAGGCAGCAAGCTCAACTGCATTTGTTCACATAGAGCTCAAGAAGTTCTCTTTTAGTTTTGCATTTGTTTCCAGTTATTATTACAAACTCTGACATACACACATACACCCCACCCCCACCCTGCTGACCTATGACATTAACCCTGAGGCTAAAGAAAAGCTAATCCTGCCTGGATACAAGGATTTCATGCTATGGGTTTGGATTCCTTTTTTTCCCCAATCCTCTATCAATTAGTCAGTTCAAATAAACAGATGGAAATTAGTCCCAAAGCACTTTTTATCCAAGAGAAAGCAAGTTAAAATTAAAACACCCAATTTTAAAAATAAATGAAAATTATTATTAAAGCCATCATTGTATTTTAACATCCAAATCAAAGCTACCATCCCACCCGAAGGGGGAAAAAAAAAGGTATTATAGAGAGGAAAAAGAAATTGAATTTTAAAAATTAAGATTCCAGAAGCTAAATTGCTGCTGGTAACACTGGAGAAACCTTATCAATCACTTTCTTTGTTATTGTATTTAATCCAAACTATCTGCATGAAACTTGCAAATTAAGTTAATAGGTGCAGCCAGCCAGCGAGGTCATAGAGGAGAAAGGAAAACAGGTCATTTGGATCGCAGTTGTTTCTTGGTATTACCCTTACACACATAAACAGTCTCGGCTTTAACACCCTCCTCAACAGTTTCACATTTTGTGGCCAAGCAGTCAGTACAAAGCCCAACATAATTTTTGAACAACAAATACTGATTATTACAACAAATCAGAACTGCTATCAGGTTTGCAAGAGTACTTGAAAGGCTCTCTATTCATAGAGTAGTACTACCTTTGAAACTGATTTTATACGGGTTAAATAAATTAACTCATGACACAACATTGTTGTTTGATTCATAAACTGTGGCAGGGGCTATCTCCTTGTTCTGTGGCAGGACAGTGCCTAGCACAGTGTGTTCCTGTACACTATAAATACTATTAGCACCACTAACTACTCCACCTACAACACCAACATATGCTTAAAAGGCTTCAGCTGAAACATTGTTAACACATGATGCAAAGTTCAGTTCCAGGCTACTTCTATGCCCTTACTTCCTTCTGAACCATCTTTCTAATCTTCATTACTACAAACACCTGTACTATTAGACAACTCCTTTGCTGAAATTCCTTTTCTTGACTCATCTTAGCACTTTCTATTCCTTAAAGTCATGCTTCTTTCAAGGAGACTGTCGAGGTTGCCATATGATCCCCACAACCAGTGCCTCTTTATTATTACTGAATTTACACATGGGCTACCCTCCTTCGATAGCAAACTACTGTCATGCTAATGAAATGGTCTGAGGAATGATACAGACCAGAGGCTTGATCTTTAGAAGCTTATAATGCAATTTAATGGTAACTGCGGGCACTCAGGTTCATGTGAGGATAAGGTGTTACATGATTTTCACTGGGTGTTTGTTGCCTCGTCAGGTCTCCCATCATTGCCTTAACTGCAAGATCGACTTCCTGCCTGCCGTCATAGCCTAAGCTTTGTCTCCAAAATGTCTGCTAATTGCCCCTTATCCAGGCAATGGGAACACCTCTTGCTTTCATGTGAAGAAATACCACACATTTAGTGGCATACAAACAACACAACTGTTAAAATACAATCATACTTCAGGCTGATGAAAGAATCAATTGTGGGAAGAGAAGGTTGTGAGATAAGGAAATTCAAGCCTGTCCCACTGATTAAATCTCACAAGATACCAAACACGTGCAGTACATTAACATCACACCCTGCTATGACTGAATGCTGTGACAAACCAGTAGCAGGTCTAGGAACAGCACTGGTCCACAAACAAAAGAAAGTCTTCCAACATTGTTTTTTTTCTATGAACACTTTCCTCAAAGAGCCACTCCCAAGCTCAAACTCTCCAGAAGGCACCACCTGCCATACCAACGCTCCTAGCGGACAAAGAGGGCCTCATACCCCCTTCAGCTCCCACAGTCAGACCTGGGGGCAATGGGGGGGGGGAGGAAGGAGTCTACCTGCTCTGAAAAGAGGAACTCAACGTACCCAACCAGCCCTGAAAGAAAGCTATCCGCCTACCTAGGAAATATCATCCTCCACCACAGGACTGGGGAGACTTTCCCTACACGGGACAGCTGAGAAGAAATGAAAGGAGCAAAGCGTCCTTCAAGATAAGCAATTCAGCAGAGGGTAAAGGATCCCTTTTCCACGCAGCCACGCTCATAACGGCTACCAGTGAACGAAAGGAAAAAGTCACTTCCCTCTCCCCCCAACTGCGAGAGTGCGTAGCCTACTCCCAAGGAAAAACAGGAGGAAAGGACGAGAACTGGCCCGCCGCAAACGCTGCTCCCCAGGCCCTGAGGAAGGGGAGGGTGAGGAAGAAGGGGGTGATCTGCCCCCTCCCCTCCATCTTGGGGCCAGACACCAACTTACCCGCCGGAAGCCTCGGCGCGCTCCTATTGGCTCGCGCCGCCGCGTCACGTGGTGGGGGAAAAGCCCCGCCTCTTCCCCCACCTTGGCCGGCGACGAGCCCTTGGGGGGTGGTGGTGGTGGTGTTGTCGGTATGGCGCGTGCGCATGCGCTGGAGGAGGC